ATAGACTTATCATTACTACCAGATGCTAAAGTAGTGCCATCAGGAGAGAAGCAGACTGAGTTGACATCATTACTATGACCATCCAATATTGCTATTTATTATCCTATTTTAATATCCCATAATCGGATAGACTTATCATCACTACCAGATGCCAAGATAGTTCCATCAGGAGAGAAGCAGACTGATTAGACCCATCTACTATGACCAACTAATGACGCTTTTTATAATAATGTATTAATATCCCATATTTTGATAGAGTTATCTCTACTACCAGATGCTAAGGTAGTTCCATCAGGAGAGAAGCAGACTGATTAAACATCATCACAATGACCATCCAATTTTGCTATTTATTATCCTGTCTTAATATCCCATAATCGGATAGAGTTATCAAAACTACCAGATGCTAAGGTTGTTCCATCAGGATTGAAGCAGACAGACCAAACATAACTATAATGACCATTTAATTTTGCTTTTTATTATCGAGTTTTGACATCCCATAATCGGATGGAGTTATCATTACAACCAGATGCTAAGGTAGTACCATCAGAAGAGAAACAGATCGAGTGTATATATCTAGTATGACCTAATAATTTAGCTTTTTATTATCCAGTTTTAACATCCCATAATCTTAATGACTCATCACCACTACAAGATGCTAAGGTAGTTCCATCAGGAGAGAAGCAGACTGAGTTGACATCATCACTATGACCATTCAATCCTGCTATTTATTACCCTTTTTTAATATCCCATAATTGGATAGATTTATCAAAAGTACCAGATGATGCTAGGGTAGTTCCATTAGGAGAGAAGCAGACTGAGTTGACCCATTAACTATGAGCTAATTTTGCTTTTTATAATTATGTATTTATATCCCATAAAAGGACAGACATATCTTCACTACCAGATGCTAAGGTAGTACCATCAGGAGAGAAGCAGACCGAGCCAACCTTTCTATTATGACCATCTAATATGGCTTTTTATTATCCTGTCTTAATATCCCATAATCGAACAGAGTCATCCTAACTACCAGATGCTAAGGTTGTGCCATCAGGAGAGAAGCAGACTGATGAGACTGAACTAGTATGACCATCCAATTTGGCTTTTCCATTTTTCATGAACTTTAATCGGCGAATGAAATTATCGTTGCTATCGTAGCTATCGGATGCTAAGATAGTAAAATCAGGAGAGAAGCAGATTGAGTTGACTGGCCATCTATAGCCATCGAATTAGGCAGTGCTTCCATTTGCAGTTAAAAAGTAAAGCTCCATTCAAATTTATTCCACTAATATCTACATTATTAAACTATGATCCACTCAAATTACATCTTACAAAATTAGCTCCAAATAATGAAGTATTCTAAATCTTGATATTTTCAAAGCATTAGTTCTTTAGATCAATTTTCATTTCAACTAATAAGTTTAATGAATTTGATCCGCATACTATAAATTGGTCGTCAACAGCTGTGAGATGAACTAAAAAATACAAAAATTAAATGATCTCCTTATTCTCTTTAATTTTTTTCTTTATATCTAATTTCACTTCGAAATATTTTCCAGATGAAAAATTGTTTACATAAAAGTCATGTATTTGAATTTTTTTCAGGATATTATGAATTATATTAATGTTGTTCCTTACAAAAAATAGTTTCTCTTCTATGTCCTAGGATGATAAAGTCATTAATTTTAAAATCTATTTTTCAAGATGCTTTTTATTCTCCTTAATTGAAAGATAGCTTATGCAATCTAATTTGCTTTCTTATCTGAAAATTTCCATCATCTGACTGAATATCTATTCATCAATATCTTTAACATTAGCAAAAACCTCAGATAGGTCTTCTTTCTAGTCCTACGTGTAATTCATAATATCTTTTTTAAAAAATTTAATGAATTTCGATAAGTTTGTATATTAAGTTGTATATTAAAAATAAAGATAAATAATAGAATAGGTTGGTCAAGGACGATAGGGTTGGTTTAGGTTGGCCCATTAGTTTATTTCAGGGGTTGAGAAACTCTAAAATTCTGAAAACCTATCTATTATTGATAAAATATAAGGATTAGAAGATTAAATCAAGAAAGGAAAAAATTCTTAAAATTTTATGAATGAAAAAATATAATTGGAAAAATTAAATAATTGACTACTAATTAGAATAAATATAATTAAAGCATTAAAAGCTATTACTTTATGAAAGATTAAAATTTATTATATAAACAAAAGCACAATTAGTAAAATTAAAAAAATTAATCTGATCTTGAAGGCATAATATACTTCACTGTTCTTTAATTGGAAAAAAAAGATAAATTAAAATCCCCATAAACCCAAATTTATAAATGAGAAAACATACAGCATCAAGGGTTCTTAAAAAGTTTAAAGTGAAATAAATAAATAAACTAACATGAAAATAATTTATTATGAAACCATTTTTTTGTTAATTAACATAATGATTGTGGTGAATAACTAAATTTATTATTTATTACATATTAAATATTATATTAAAACATCTATTGATTATTTTTCTCAATAGGTTCAACACCCCTTTGTCCTTAACATCAAAAACTTATAATTTCGCTGATTATGAAGAGCTAAGAAAAAAGAGTTTTGTAATTAGATATAACCATTTTAATCACTTTTTTTGAATTTTTTCTGCTTCTGCTACTTCATAATATATTCTATTCTCCTTAATTTATTTTAAATAATTTTAAAATTTATTATAAACTAGAGTTTGATTCTTGTTATAATATGCTTCCATTTATTCAGAGAAATTATCAATTGTTTATTATAAATATATCTATTGAATATCAAGCATTACACAAATTATGATTATTAAAGTTGAACTCTATATCTTCGTGCAATTAATTGTAATTTAGGTCAAAAATAAATCAATTTCAATTATTCGAATATATTATCATCTATTGTTGCTTTTCTACGCCCAAAAATACTGATATTATAAGAAAACCTATTCCTATTATTATATATGATTTGATATTAGATAATCTATTTGCTTCTAATTTATTCTCATAAATCACATATAATGATGATGGGTTAGCTACTAAATTTGATAATTAATAATAATTTGAAAAAAGAAGAGTTGGACTTATGTTAGTTGTATCTGGAATCATTATAATGAAAATAGCTTTGAAATTATGTATTCCAAAACCAGTTGGTGAAGATTGGGGAATTTTAGATCTAATTTTGAAAAAAAAATGAAGAGAAATATTTTAATTTTAGAACAAGCGAAGAATCTAAAGAAAGTCTTATGAAATAAAAGAAGCTTAAATTACATCTAAAAAATTTTAAAATTATCTTTAATCTAATATTACTAGTAGATAAGGTTCTTTATTTTCAAATTAATAATCCTCTATTATGGCTTGATAAAAGGAATCAACTATGCTAAAAATTTAATATTTAAAAAACTACTTTTCTTAAATAAAGTAGTTCCATTACCTTTATAAATTTTAAGCTAATCTAAACGACTTTGGGTTTTAGTAGTTAAGTTTATGAAACCTTCATTGAACTTATTCTTTTAGTATTTGATAAATTATTTGAAAAAGAATCTTAAATTACTAATAATTATTATAATGGCTTTAAAGAATTTAATTATTATATTCTTTTTTGTCATAATTCCATAAATATTTATAGATATTTATGTTTTGAATAGTTTAGAGATGATTTATGGAATTAAATTATTTGATTATTTCGATTATTGTAAATATAGAAATGATTTCAGAATCAAAATTTTTGAACACTTTTTAACTTTCGATCGTAGTATAAATGCTTAATATAAATCT